TGACGCTAACCCTAAACAAAGTAAAAGAATATGCGGCAGTACCCATAAAAATTTGTGTAATAAGCGCCATCTAGTTGATTTGTTTGTTATTAATAGAAATTAGAGCAGCTACGATACATTGTGGTTCGTCAATTATTTACATATTACTTACAAAAATAGCTTTTCAGTACTCATCCCTATATCTGGTGTACCAATGGGTACTAAATACCCGATTACGCTGTGTTGTACCGTGATTAGCATACCTTTTGAATTATTGGTCCATGGAGTGTATAAAAGAAATTAGTTCTATGAAATCCGTAACATTGCTAGTGTCGAAATCTAAATTGTCAGCCATTACGTCGGTCATCGTGTAATATGTTGAAATAAGCTTTAGTCCAATTCATTGCGACTCAATGTGCTTTGAAGCGCTAAGATATTGATACCGTAAAATATAATATAACGTATAGTAGAAAATATCTCGAAAGAAACTCGCGAATGCGTTTCAAAATCATCATAGGATGTTTTTGTTTTTTAACAGCACTTTGTTTTTGCTTATATTTATTTTATCTGTAAATTCTTTTCAATATTCTTTTTTTTCTATTTTTCTATATACTATTCAATATAACTGACATGAAACATCCATTGCGAATTGGACAATAGTTCGTATTCTAAATTTTAAACTCATTTTTGTGGTACACTTCGAACAAGGTTCGAGAAATTTCGTCTCGTTATAAATACAGGCAAGTTACTTTTGGACTTTGAAATTATGTCGCTATCTCAAGTTACCACTTTTGACGTCAATCTTCGTATTGTCAGTCAAATACATTACTTTCTAAATTCTATAACATTTTTCAAAATGGCAAGCTTCCATATGTAACTTGCGGGGTTTTATACAGGGTTATTACTTTTGTATATGTAATCAAAGTTTGTGGTAAGGTTTAATTTCCGATATCAAGTAAATATTGATACTTACATTATTATATCATCATCCATATTAACGATATATTATGGCGTATTTTCACAAAAAATATATGAATATCATGGCAAAAACCACAAAACAATAAATACAGTTGAAGTGCTTAGTGGGCGTGTCACGTGTGTGTCAACACAGTATAGTCCGCCATTTTCGCTTTTTACGTTATGGTAGTGTCAGTTATCTCACGCACGTGGGAAAATGAAAATGATAGTCCCATCTGTAATATTATCCAGAGTGGTGTATTTTCACATCGTTCAGTCTTATGTTAACAAATTTTTCATTTTCTGTTTATCGTAATAGAATTTTTGTTATAATAA